TTAGAAAAAGTTATACACAAAAATGCGTACACAGTGCAATCTACAAACTGGATTAAAACAAAATTGAGTTAGTGGAAACTTTATCCACTGATTTAAAAACAAAACGATCAAAACAAGTGATCTAAAAGTTCGGACTATGTATCATCGACCGATGTAGACTATATATTTGAATCCGACCCCACGTACTTCAGCTTGAACACACGGGTGGAATCACTAGCTTTTATAGACAGTTCGTCATTCAATCAGTTACAATCAACGTAGAACCTGACAACAATGCGTATTGGTTAGTTTCCATAACACGTTATCACGAGATTAGATTAACAAAATAAATTGCAAAGAAGATCGAAATAATGTAGTGACGATGATACGGAAGAAGACTAATCATCGGGGATATGGTTCGAAAGAATAGAGTGAAAAAGTACGTATGAATGAATACTGAAAATCAAAACCTAGAGAACGCTAATGTAACTGTACCATTGTAATTGATTCTGAGCTGGGTTACACAACATCTTCAACCATTGACTACGACTATAATCTTCACCTACTGTCATAGCTCACGTCAACAGCTAATGATTTCGTGGACTGACACCACATTTTGGTTTGGCTGCCCCTGGCTTCTCTCCAACTTACTCCTACACCAGCGAGCATTCACCATCGAGGTAGGCGATGGTTAGACATATGTAATATATGTCCAAACTACCTCAATGTATAAAACTTCATAACCTCATCAGCCAATTTGGCATCTTCATTTGGTATTCAATGCCCTACTTCAAAATTCCTCACATGGTTGTTCCATGATATGCAAGCAATGTTTTATAGACAATTACAGTCAAAAACCTGTAGCGTATGAGTGTCTTTTAGTCCCATAGACCGTGTTTCTTAACTATAGAGTAATGAAGAGAGGACAAAAGGGAAGTATGCTTACCCCTTAAGTATACAGTGTGACTCAATGCTGAGTAAGTAGACCTATTTATTTGATAAATTGTTTACAATAACTAAAATACCAGTGCATGAATTAACTCCTTTGGAAGTTTCCCTTAAACGTGATAACCTTCAATTATTCCATGCTTTTTTTCTGACAACATACTATTTATTGAGAATGATACTAATAATGAGCTACCCATTTACCAACTGTAAGGTTTATTTACTATAACAAGAGCAATTTCTCGATTGTAACGAACCAAGTATAGTCTTCATTTATACTTCTATTTTCGTGATTTGTCTCATTATTCATCTCATTGTTAGCTTTTATTATACACCCTACTTTCTAAAACGTTTACTGCACGTTGTTTCCTGATTTTCTGAATAGTAATAAGTAATTTATTTCCGCCAATTGTTAATATTGTTCTCGTTTGAAATAGCCATGGGTTAGTTTTTCGTATACAGGACAATAATTTGGCTCTTATTTACTTAGTTCAAAGACGAAATCTTTTATTTATATTGTTGACGATGTAAATAACACCCAGTCACCTATTGTTTAAATGTTCTTAAACTTTTTGTGGTTATTTTATTAAGTTCAATAGTGTCTTGAAAATATATGCCATTTTTAGATTTAAAGCTCTTTGTGAACAGTTCGATGATTCAGTCATAATCCTTGTAAGGATTTCACACTTATCAGTAAAAAGTTATACAATGAATTTAAGTAGGAATTTTTTTACTTAGACACCAGCTTGGCACTACATTTGTTTTAAAACTGTCTATGACTATAGCACAAACTCAGGTACACGAATATGGATGATCAATAAATTTGGTCGTTGATGATGTCAAACATGTAGACATATCTATGGCCGAAGCAATATATAATCCGTCTCCGATGTATACTGTAGATAAAATCTGCAGAAGAATATTATTCATATGCAAGGGTTTCAGTTTTCATATTGTTAGTGTTATGCACTGCAGTTGATCGGTCCTTACTGGCACATGTGAATCCTAAGCGAATTACCTCAATACTATCCTTAAATTACAAGTTTTAGTAAGATTGGATTGGAGCTAGCAATGGGATCAATAACACGCGTTCCATTTTAATTGGGTGCTTTCCTCAATGTGTGTCCTATCCACTTCCAGCGCTTCTTCCTGATTTCTTCCTCCGCTGGGATCTGGTTTGTTCTCTCCCACAGTACGTTGTTGCTAATAGTGTCCGGCCAATGGATCTGAAGTATTTTGCGTAGACAATTGTTAATAAACACTTGTATCTTCTGGATGATGGCTTTCGTAGTTCTCTAAGTTTCCGCCCCATACAGTAGAACTGTCTTGACATTTGTATTGAAAATCCTGACCTTGGTGTTGGTTGACAGTTGCTTTGAGTTCCAGATGTTCCTCAATTGTAAATATGCTGCTCTTGCTTTGCCGATCCGCGCCTTCACATCTGCATCAGATCCACCCTGTTCATCAATGATGCTGCCCAAATATGTAAAGGTTTTTACATCTTCCAAATCTTCTCCGTCAATTGTGATTGGGTTGGTGCATGCTGTGTTGTATCGGAGAATCTTGCTTTTCCCTTTGTGTATATTGAGACCTACTGCTGCTGAGGCTGCTGCCACACTGTTCGTCTTCTTCTGCATTTGTTGTTGCGTTTGGGATAGAAGGACCAGATCATCTGCGAAGTCTAGATCGTCCAACTGCATCCTAGATGTCCATTGTATCCCGTGCTTCCCTTCAGATGTTGACGTCTTCATGATCCAGTCGATCACCAGGAGAAAGAGAAAGGGTGAGAGTAAGCAACCTTGCCTAACACCGGTCTTTACTTCGAACGACTTTGTCAACTGTCCTCCATGCACGATTTTGCAGTGTAATCCATCATATGAACTCTGTATGATATTGACTATCTTCTGAGGCACGCCGTAGTGTCGAAGAAGTTTCCATAGTGTTGTTCTGTCCACGCTATCAAATGCCTTTTCGTAGTCAATGAAGTTGATGTATAGCGATGAATTCCATTCAATTGATTGGTCCACAATGATCCGTAGAGTTGTGATTTGGTCTGTACACGATCTATCCTTACGGAATCCTGCCTGTTGGTCACGAAGTTGGGCGTCTACACAATCCTTCATCCTGTTTAACAATACTCTGTTGAAGACTTTTCGCGGTATTGAGAGAAGAGTGATGCCCCTGTAGTTATCACACTTGTTGAGATCGCCTTTCTTTGGTATTTTGATCAGAAGTCCTTCTTTCCAGTCTTTTGGTACTTGTTCCTCATCCTAAATCTTATTGAAGAGGATGTGGAGTATCATTGCAGTTGCCGCTACTTCTGCTTTTAGTGCATCTGCTGGAATGTTGTCTGGTCCTGCTGCTTTGCCACTCTTGATTTGTCTGATGGCCATGTTGATTTCTTCAATTGTTGGTGGGCCAACATTGATTGGGAGGTCCGTGGGTGCTGCTCCGATGTTGGGTGGGTTCAGTGGAGCTGGTCGATTCAAGAGTTCTTTGAAGTGTTCTATCCACCTGTTTCGTTGTTCTTCAATGTTGGTGATTACCTCGCCTTCCTTGCTTTTCACTGGTCGTTCTAGTTTACGGTGATTTCCAGAGAGTTTCCTTGTTATGTCACACAGTTGTCTCACGTTTCCTTCTCTTGCAGCCTTTTCCGTCGTCGTTGCTAAATCTTCCACATATTTACGTTTGTCGGTTCTGATGCTCCTCTTCACTTGTTTGTTTACTTCTGTGTATTCAGCTTGTGCCTTGGCTTTTTCTGCTCTTGTTCGACTGGTATTGATTGCTGCCTTCTTGTTCCTCCTTTCTTGAATCTTATCCAGTGTATCAACAGTGATCCATTCCTTGTGAGGGTGCTTCTTGTGACCCAGGACCTCACGACATGTTGAAGTGATTGCCTCTTCGATCCCCTTCCAGTTGCTCTCCACAGTAGTTCCTTCTCCATTGAGTACATCATGAAAGGCCTGGAACTTGTTGCTGAGGACTATCTTGAATTTGTTGAGTTTGTTAGTATCCTGAAGAAAGGCCGTATTGAAATTTTGTGATATTGTCTCATGAAATACTCAGCCGCATATTAATATTTGTGCAAAACTGTGCTGATATAAACTGCGCAAAAAACTAGAACTCAACTGCTGGAAGTAAAAAAAATCTCCTGTATCACAAGAACACTTACGTTGCAGAATATAATTAATAATGACAACCAAGTTAGTTATGTCTGACTTTTGAGTTGACTATACATCAATGAACACTGCTAACTCTTTATAGATATAACCTTCTACCAGAAGTGGGCCGTTTTTCATTCCAATTATCTACATACATTTATGGCAATTGTTTCACATTATCTCAATGTTAAAATTCTATCACATAATTGGTTGTAAGCAACTGACGAGAAACCTCGAAACAAAATGAATTCATACTATTCTGCATCAATATTTGTTCTGGCTTTACTTACATTACCATTTTGTCTAAGCTTAAGTTACACTGGGGCCACTAATCTAAGTGACTTGACTTCACGGAGCACTATTTTTTATGTTAGGCAGTTGGATTCAATCGGCAAGAAGACTTAAATCGACACTCTTTACTAGTTGATAATCGTTAATAAGGCGTGTCTGTTATCTTGGGGAAATTTATTTCCTCCGTAGGATTCTAACACGTAATGTGAAAAAGCTATCACGAGCCATTTTCGCCGTAAGCCCTATTAGATTCACAAAGGTCAACGAATTCTCACTGACAACCACGATGATTATCTTCTGTGCATTCAAAGCATGATATTTGTAGATAACATTATATTTTCAGTATTTACAGCCTAATTTTTATCGACTAATACGAGATAGTGTGTAATTATGTTAAAAAGTAAATAGGGAAATATATATTTGTATTTATATTTATACATAGTGAATAATAAATCTCTATTGAATACAGTACCATTTACATGAATTTCATGAACAAATGAAAGATTATAAAGCTATTGTTTAACTCTGTTTATGCAGTATTTAAAAATAACCTGTGGTATAAATAATAACAGTGAACAGGCAAATACTGATTATTTACAAATTTAGAGAAATAAATCTATGACACCCATTTTGATTGTTGTTTAACAGAATCAGAAAGCTGAAAATCATCTTTTTTGTATGCGTACACTAATAATAACATGAAGATGTGTATGAAAAGAAATGCAGAACGAAAAAATAAGCGTCTTATCCTCTTTGAATCGAAATGAATGCTTCCAAAACAGAAGTATGAGAATACGATCTTCTTTATATCCATACACGTCGAGATCGTTATATGTATTGAAACCATTAATTTTAATTGTTGTCTAACAAACGACTAGTTGCAGGTCGAACTGAAATTAGAAAAAGTTATACACAAAAATGCGTACACAGTGCAATCTACAAACTGGATTAAAACAAAATTGAGTTAGTGGAAACTTTATCCACTGATTTAAAAACAAAACGATCAAAACAAGTGATCTAAAAGTTCGGACTATGTATCATCGACCGATGTAGACTATATATTTGAATCCGACCCCACGTACTTCAGCTTGAACACACGGGTGGAATCACTAGCTTTTATAGACAGTTCGTCATTCAATCAGTTACAATCAACGTAGAACCTGACAACAATGCGTATTGGTTAGTTTCCATAACACGTTATCACGAGATTAGATTAACAAAATAAATTGCAAAGAAGATCGAAATAATGTAGTGACGATGATACGGAAGAAGACTAATCATCGGGGATATGGTTCGAAAGAATAGAGTGAAAAAGTACGTATGAATGAATACTGAAAATCAAAACCTAGAGAACGCTAATGTAACTGTACCATTGTAATTGATTCTGAGCTGGGTTACACAACATCTTCAACCATTGACTACGACTATAATCTTCACCTACTGTCATAGCTCACGTCAACAGCTAATGATTTCGTGGACTGACACCACATTTTGGTTTGGCTGCCCCTGGCTTCTCTCCAACTTACTCCTACACCAGCGAGCATTCACCATCGAGGTAGGCGATGGTTAGACATATGTAATATATGTCCAAACTACCTCAATGTATAAAACTTCATAACCTCATCAGCCAATTTGGCATCTTCATTTGGTATTCAATGCCCTACTTCAAAATTCCTCACATGGTTGTTCCATGATATGCAAGCAATGTTTTATAGACAATTACAGTCAAAAACCTGTAGCGTATGAGTGTCTTTTAGTCCCATAGACCGTGTTTCTTAACTATAGAGTAATGAAGAGAGGACAAAAGGGAAGTATGCTTACCCCTTAAGTATACAGTGTGACTCAATGCTGAGTAAGTAGACCTATTTATTTGATAAATTGTTTACAATAACTAAAATACCAGTGCATGAATTAACTCCTTTGGAAGTTTCCCTTAAACGTGATAACCTTCAATTATTCCATGCTTTTTTTCTGACAACATACTATTTATTGAGAATGATACTAATAATGAGCTACCCATTTACCAACTGTAAGGTTTATTTACTATAACAAGAGCAATTTCTCGATTGTAACGAACCAAGTATAGTCTTCATTTATACTTCTATTTTCGTGATTTGTCTCATTATTCATCTCATTGTTAGCTTTTATTATACACCCTACTTTCTAAAACGTTTACTGCACGTTGTTTCCTGATTTTCTGAATAGTAATAAGTAATTTATTTCCGCCAATTGTTAATATTGTTCTCGTTTGAAATAGCCATGGGTTAGTTTTTCGTATACAGGACAATAATTTGGCTCTTATTTACTTAGTTCAAAGACGAAATCTTTTATTTATATTGTTGACGATGTAAATAACACCCAGTCACCTATTGTTTAAATGTTCTTAAACTTTTTGTGGTTATTTTATTAAGTTCAATAGTGTCTTGAAAATATATGCCATTTTTAGATTTAAAGCTCTTTGTGAACAGTTCGATGATTCAGTCATAATCCTTGTAAGGATTTCACACTTATCAGTAAAAAGTTATACAATGAATTTAAGTAGGAATTTTTTTACTTAGACACCAGCTTGGCACTACATTTGTTTTAAAACTGTCTATGACTATAGCACAAACTCAGGTACACGAATATGGATGATCAATAAATTTGGTCGTTGATGATGTCAAACATGTAGACATATCTATGGCCGAAGCAATATATAATCCGTCTCCGATGTATACTGTAGATAAAATCTGCAGAAGAATATTATTCATATGCAAGGGTTTCAGTTTTCATATTGTTAGTGTTATGCACTGCAGTTGATCGGTCCTTACTGGCACATGTGAATCCTAAGCGAATTACCTCAATACTATCCTTAAATTACAAGTTTTAGTAAGATTGGATTGGAGCTAGCAATGGGATCAATAACACGCGTTCCATTTTAATTGGGACTGGTCAGCTGGATGCATCTGAATCTTAGTGTTGATGTGTATACTTAGAATTGAATCCGATACCTTTCACTTCAAACTTCATACCTGTTGAACAAGTTGGTTTTGATGTGGACTCAGGAGTTTAGTGAGTGACGCGCTAGCGCTTGAAGTTATATGGTCCGAGTTTTAGTGTAAAGATCAACACTAGATGAAGGTGTAGACAGCTGACGAGTCCAAAACAGAACGAAAAGCTTGTTGTGGATTCCACTGTTCGCCACAGTTCACGTTTACCAGGACATTTTTGAACCTGCTCAAAAACACAAATCTGTTATTTCAATGATGTAGACTTGGAAATTCTTTATAAAGTATTACAAATTTAAATTACTTAATAAATCTCTTGATCAACATTTTTTTTACTACCATTAATTATTGAAACAATGATTTTTAAAAAGTGGATAACGAAACGTTACTGATGATGATTAAGACAATATACAAATCAAAATAATATTTATTTATTTATTTATTTGAACACATAAATATTGGAACAAGAGAGCGCCAATATATATGCGCCACACAAAACAATGAGAATTCGAGGAGAAAGAAAAAAAGGTAAGGAGCGTAAAAAAAGAGAACAATAACGAAGAGATTGGTGTAAGGTAGTGTGGTAGTAACGAGGGAACAGCAAGGTACAATCAGAAGAAATCTTTCAGGTAAGGGAGACACAACCACTTTTTATGAAGAAAGTAAAAGAAGGTTACAGCAGGATCGCCACTGGCTTCTATTCTGAGCCATATCTGATAACGTCTCTAGCCACTGTGTAGCACCATCTCTCAGACCCCAACCAGGGAGTCGTGAAGGACAGACACAAGCCAGTCCTTTGCAGCTTTCTTTCATACCACGACACCATGTCATGCACTGACCACCTCTCCGCTTCTTCCAACCAGTCCCAGAGTCGGCAAATAATGCACGACGTGGAATTCTCTGGGACGACATTCGTAGAACATGTCCAAGCCACCGAAGTCGGTGTTTCAAGATGGTGACACCAATTGATTATCATCTCTGTGCCCGAACACACGATGCCGAACCTCTGCATTACTGACATGGTGTTGCCACTGAATGTCAGCAATCCTTCGGAGACAGCGATGATCGAACACAGAGAGTCGTCTAACGTCCTCAACTCGGAGAGGCCAGGTTTCACAAGCATAGAGCAAAACTGCTCTCACCGACGCGTTGTAGATCCGACCTTTTACAGCCAGACTAACATCACGAAGGCGCCAAAGGTGGCCCAGATTGGCATAAGCCGCTCTGGCTTTCACTATACGTGCATTGATCTCATCACTCACACCCCCACCAGCACTTATGCAGCTACCCAGATACACGAACTTCTCGACTACGTCTATCTGCTCACCATCCAGGGTGAGTACAGGATTAGAATCCTGCCAGTCTTGTAGAAGTACTTTGCACTTCGAAGGTGCAAAGCACATACCATACCTACGGACACTGATTGCCAACTGATTAAGTGCGGATTGCATGCCTTGGGCATTATCGCACAGTAAGACAATATCGTCCGCATACTCAAGGTCGAGAAGTCTTTCTCCAGGCAACAGATCCACACCACCATTACTTACATTCATCAGAGCTGTTTCCAGAATGTCATCGATGGCAAAGTTGAAGAGGAATGGTGAGATTGGGCAACCCTGCCTAACCCCACTGCTCGAATGGAACAATGGAGAGAGGTGGTTGTATGCCCTCACTCTGCCTGAGGTGTTTTTTATAGGGCTTTTAGGATGTTAATAAACTTCTCAGGCACACCCTTCTTCAATAGACAATCCCAGAGAACAGTCCTGTCCAACGAATCGAAGGCAGCCCTGATGTCAAGAAACACTACGATTGTTGGCCTTTGAAAGTATGGCGGTGTTCTAACATTTGGCGGAGGGTGAAGATATGATCAATACATCCTCGACCAGAACGAAACCCAGCCTGCTCCTCGCGAGTCAATCTTTCTCGGGTTTTGAACAACCTACGAAGTATGACGGAAGCCAATAGCTTGGACGCAATCGGAAGTAGACTTATCCCCCGATAGTTGTTACAGGAACGACGTGAACCCTTTTTAAAGATAGGGACAACTATCGACTCATTCCATGACGTTGGTACACTCTCTAGTTCCCAAACCTTTGTAAACAACGTCGTCAATTCCTTAGTCAAAAAGTCACCACCATCTTTAAAAAGAGCCGGAGGTAAGTCATCTGGGCCAGGTGATTTGTAACGCTTCAAGAGTTGGAGTTCCTTGCGGACTTCCTCCTCATTTGGTGGATCAGTCGTCACCGGCCATGGAGGGCAGGACAGTCTGACCGATGTTGCCGGAGCAGCAGGCCAGTTGAACTGCCCTTCGAAAAATTCTGCCCATCGTCCAAGACGTCGATGGATGTTAGTGATTGGCATCCCATCATCCTCGCAGATTGTTTCACTCACACCAGACTTCTTGCTGCCAGTGGCTCGGATGAGCTGGAAGAGCTTCCGGTAGTTACCAGATGCAGCTGCTGCTTCCAGCTCATTAGCACGCTTCGACCACCAGGCTTCTCGGTCCTTACGCAAGCTTTGCCCAATTTCCTTACGTAACATCCTTCGTTTATGGTCAAACTCACGGTCACCCGGAGTAGACCGACGGGCTTCAATGAGTTGTAACGAACCTGAAGAAATCCAGTGCTTATAAGCAGTTTATAAGTATCAATACCAAGGTTAGACTTGAAAATTTCAAATAAATTGAGCATTGGGTTGTTATATCCCAACGAGTAGAATAATTGTATTTCTGAAGTTTCATGACTTAATAGTTAACCTGAAGAAATAGCTTACATTAAGTCACGAAACGTCAGAAATATCATTTTCTACCCATTGGGATATAATAAAAAATATAGTTATTATCAAAATGACAACTGTAATAAAAAATAATTTCCAATTTCAATGTTTTTTTACTGATTACTCACCTGATATCACTGCTTCACTTAATTGTCGCTTTATTGTTATACCTGTTTTCGTAGCTGAAATATTATTGATGCTATTATTAATAGCAGTAGTAGTATTAGTAGTAGAAGTAAATGAAGACGACGGAACAGATATATGACGTTTACAATCATTCATTGAAGATTGAGAAATAAATGCGGGTAAATTTGGTTTATTGATAGACATTGTAGTTGAATTATTATTGTTAGTAGAGTTACTTTTAAAAGATTCCGTTTTTTGATTAGATGATTCAATCACTCTAGGTGTTTGTATGAGTTGAATATTTCTAAGAGGAGTAATCTCTAAATTAGATGAGGTTGGACTTTTAACTTCATTAATCATTATAGGTTTATTCACAAATGTTCGAACAGTTGACCTAGTTCCAATTAGTGGAGTTTGACGTAATTGCTACATTGAATTGAATTTACAGAGAGAGAAAAACAACGAAATAAACACACAAAATAAAGAGATTCAGTTTGAAACAAGCATATCATTTAAATTTCAGTTTGTTTCATGGTTATTCTGATGCTTAAAACAACTGTATCAAATAAATGTGAATGACAAGTCACAATTGATTGCGTGTCTAGTCCTTATTAGTGTAGATCGAATGCTATCGACCATGTTGCAATGTGGCCACCGGCCTAGGTGACTCGACACTGCGTGCACTATTGTGAATAATAAGTATTTGAAATAAAATATTATTTCACAGTAACTGATTAGTTTCAATAAATTAATAAATTTGAAATTCAATTTTATTAATATTATACCAATAAGAAATAGATACTTTGACATTCTTATCTATCATATAAATCCTATATGAATTATATAACATACATTCAAATGATTCATTCATCAAATTGATAAGTAGTTTAAAATAAGGCAACAATGTTTCGAAGGATAAGAAAAAAATTCCTTCATTTCAGATGTTGATTTATGCCAGCAAAATGATTTGGATAATACTGTTCGATAGTTTATTAAGTAGTGTGAACTAATTCGCGTACACTACTCAATCGCATTTTTCAATAGTAATTTTGGGTTGGTTAAAAATATTTACGAACGTTTTCATCTTTGTTAAATAATAACAGTAACAATAATAATAATAATAATAATAATAATAATAATAATAATAATAATAATAATAATAATAATAATAACGTATACTGATATTAATGTGTCTCAGTGAGATATCGGGTAGTAGAAGTAATCCTATTTGAGATTAATTCATGTTATTTAGTGTAATCTGTTAGTTATCATCATAAGACTTCATTTGGTTATAAGACAAAGTGATCATAATGTCAGTTCGCACTGATGAACACTGAACGCCATACGTAAATGTATTGCTCTGCGCCCCGAAAATGCGTGAATACAAACAGTAAAACATAACAATCAAATATTTACAATAATCAGGTAACCATATAATATATATATATAGTGCAGCATACAGTAACTGGGTCTCTACTATTATGAATAATTTTAGGCGATAAAAACACAGAACTTCACCCAAAATTTACTTATTCACATTGTCACATACAACTAAAGCATAAATCGATATCACGTCGAAAAAAATATACGGAAGTGAACAAAGAAGATATAAGTTAATCCGAAGTAGGCTTATATGAAATGATAAATAGTCAATATTTAAGGAATGATAAAATTGATGAACGTACCGTCACTATTGCGATCTATTTCTAACCAGATAACTGGAAAGTCTTTTTATTCCTCGAAAATACTACAAACCTTAGAAAACAACTTTTATAAGTTGACAAAGACTTGGAGCTTATAAAACGGATTGAGACGACAGGTGGTTATTTGTACTGCGTGGTTTAATAATTTAAAATAAACAAATGATCATTATCAAAGTTGATGAATTTCATTTACCTGTTTACTGTAGCTTATTTCCGGTTTATAAGTACACTTTAAGTATACAAGCAGATGAAAGCTACTCACTAGGGGGTACTAGTTCAAAGACTGGAAATCCTCACTTTTCCGATCATGAAGAATTGGGAAAATGGAGGTGATTCTTTCAATAAACGAGGGAAGTAATGATTACACGAGAAGTGAAGAGGAAGAAACTTAGTGATTATGAAAAAATTCTAGGCATTTAATAGTGATAATTCCTGACTGCAACACGTTGAAAACGCATACATTATTAAAGTAAATGTACGAAATAAATTGGTTGAACCGCGTGAAGACAACTCCCAAAAAGAAATATTAGTCTGCAAGAAACTCCATTCTAAAATGTGCTGAGTTCTGATCTCTGATGAGTTTATATATTAAGGTTCACTGAAAGAGACAATGAGTTTAGAGTTCGACCCAACTTTTCGACATTTAGAAATCAAACTTACTAGGAATAACGTGTGCTCGATGAGAACACTCTGTTGGGGTCATTAGTTGATTTTATAGACAGATTTCCCTCATACTTCGTCATGATGAAATTAATTATAGTATGATAGAGTATTTTAGCTTAATCAGTCCGTAGAATCTCTTAACTAAGCAAAGCGGATACATTAAAAAAGAAGACAAATCGAATATTATTTGCGAGACAATCTGTAACAACTGACATTAACATCATACTGAATGAAGTGGCCATTGTTTTCGTCTTTATATAAACATCGAATGACTCCCAAACATACTTATATTGGTATACATTGATAAATAAATTTCAGCTACGGAAGTGAACCCTTGGATAGAAACAACGAAGGAGCCAAGTCTTCAGATTAACAAATTAATGAGTCATTCAGTCGATCAGCCGTAACGCAGAACCTAGTACATATGTACATCGGTCCAAATTGTCATACCCTATCAGCACAGAGATTAAATTGTCAAACCGAATCCCGGAATATTAGAGGTAGTAACACTATTAGTGGGAATAGAAAAGCCTAGGCATCAAAGATATGATTTGAGAAAATATAAATTAGTGAAATAGAAACACAAAAAAAGTTATGAAAAATTCAGAAGCTTAGAATTTGAGGGGATAAAAAGAATGGTGCACCTGGGCCATTGAATAATTTCGACCCATGTCATTAAGTCTCCAACCATTGGTTACGATAATTACTCAAACCTCAATCAGGTAGTCTGCATTTACTAAAATGGCTCAGTACAACTATCGATGACTTCATGGACTGATGCCATATTTTGGTTTGGCCGCCCCCAGCTTTCGTCCAGCCTACCTCCCACACCAAAAAAAATCGCCCGTTCAAGGTAGGCGGTGGTTGGACATACTTAACACATGTTCTAACCACCTAATGAAGATTTACTACCTGATCAATAGATTTCCCATCCTTAACTAGGACTCTATTACTATCCAAGCTACACGAAGTGGCGCATATGTATTTGATGCCCTTTTGCACCAATATTTATGTATTCAAATAAATAAATTTAATCAAAAAAAATAAGACTAGTGTTTAGAAACCTGATTGAAGAGTGAAGAACAGACCGACTTCCCTTGACCGAATATGAAGGATTTTACTACAACGTACTATCTGTTAACAGAAATTATGCTGTTAATTTAAACTACAATAAAAAGGTCGTAATTGACAAAAAAGTTATCTCATTTCAGATTAAAATAAGGTTTTGTGAAGCTTCATGAAATACTCAGCCGCACATTAATATTTGTGTAAAACTGTGCTGATATAAACTGCGCAAAAAACTAGAACTCAACTGCTGGAAGTAAACAAAATCTCCTTTATCACATGAACTGATATAGAAAAACTGTGAGTCTTAGTAAACACTTACGTTGCAGAATATAATTAATAACGACAACCAAGTTAGTTATGTCTGACTTTTGAGTTGACTATACACCAATGAACACTGCTAACTCTTTATAAATATAACCTTCTACCTATTCACTTTACTCCATATTACTCTTCAGCGCTTGCTTTTAAAATTGCATTTAATGAAGCCTGGTTCAACGGCATTACGGTAAGTGCTTAAATAAGGTATTTCTATGAAAAATAAATCTTACAAGAGGATTAAGTTTTATTTACAAGCACGTCTACCCTTGCACCAGACGTATTTCCTTTTTCGACGCTTAAAAGAATAACTATATATATATAATGAACACCAACTTACTTTAATACGCTTACTAACACTTTCCCATCGTTTGATATAGATATAGCGTGACTTGTTTTATCAGTAACAGTAGCAGCCGCCAATGCCATTACTTCATCACGAGAAAGCATGACCACACGTCTTCGTGTTTCGGGTGTAGAAGACTTAATTAGTAAAAAAAGAAATAATGAAATTCTTCATCTTTAATCTTAAAATCATAGGGCTAGTTATATGGTGTTCCAGTAATATTACAAAGTCGAAGAATAAATATCCTGTTATACAATGTTATAATGCAACTGTTATACAGTACTTAGAATATTCATCTTAGAAGTTAAATTTTGTTGTTAGAAAATATTGGATATAATAGAATATAGTAATCAACCTGGTGGACTCATTCTTGAGCTACAAACTTCTCTGTGAGTGCTAGTGATACTAACCGTCTGTCTAAACTGACATAAGTGAGGCTATGTTCGAAATTGTCAGAATACAACGGTGCTAAGACTAAGGATAGATCCGTTGCGAAAATGTTTTGACACCAAACTGTCTTAATAGAATTTAGTTCAGTCCTTCAAACTCATATAGATTTCATAAAAAAAGTAATGAGATCCTTGTTAATATCAAAAACTGAAGCTTGGATTGTTTGTGGATTCGAACACTATTGTTGTGATGTGCGGTGTCCGAGTTTGGTTTTGATATATAATCTTCCTATGCAAGAGCCCAACTGAATGATTGAGTGAGGAAGAATTCTATTGACAAAGCAGAATCGGCTATTATGTACTCATCCACACTTACACTCCTTCAGAAAGTCAAACCATCTTCTGTTGTACTGCCAGTTGTTTGTGATAGAAATAAGGAAACACTTGAGACCTTAGTTCATTTAATGAGTCAATGTTAATCTTTTAAGATCTATCTCATACATATTAAATACTAAAATCACTATTTCCTAGATGTAAGACTTTTCTAACCTACATATATATTTAAAACTCACCAGATTTGAAGAAAGTTTAAATATTTTTAAACCTATCTTTCCATTTCGATTAGAAGTGCTTGTGAAAAGAGAAAAACTAGATCGATGTATAAGTAAAATGGTGTATTTACTAAACTTTCAAACATTGGATCTAAATTCCACAACCACCATAAAAATTAATTTTATCAGGAAATTCGGAAAGTCTCATTGACTTTGAAATAACGGAAACACCATAATACAGTACATGTGCTTCTAAACAGTCATCTAATAATATATGTAACGCGTTACCACATTCTCTGTTATAACATGAAATTTAAAATATAGACCACAATTTCTTTACAAAATAACATCTTGATTCCAGGTTAAATAATTATAGATATAACTCCAAAGCTGTGATGGGTTCGAGGTATTTATGAATAGTTAATGAGTTTAGATTATCAAAATGAGGGGATGCAATATGGATAAATAGATGAACTTAGTGATGCAATGTGGTGAAGTGACAAATACTCAGATATCTGAATAAACGAATACCAAAAACAAGGCCAGTAACCCAAAGAATAAATATTTTCTGACAAAACAACAACCCTATATATCAAGGACCCACTTATTGCACAAACAAGCATGTCTCTCACCAGCAAAAACAGCCTTCACTAAACTTTATAAGAGCAACCTTGAATACCAGTATTTAATGATAACTGATAAATCGAAAAGAAACCGACAAATTTTTACAGGAATGTTAGGTTTATCATTATTCAGTCTTAAGCTTTATTAATAAATCAAAAATGAACTCACAGCGTTTTTAACTGGTAAGCAATAATTCTGAGCATGGGGATCCACACCATTTGTTACAACTCCCTGAGTTTCATACAAAATAAGTAGAATTATTTTACCTCATCATTCATCAAATTATACAAAAAAGAGCACACAAAATGTTTAAGCTTTGAGTAGCAATTTTCACTGAGTTCAATATTCATTTCTTGTACAAATACAGACGTCAATTCATTTAGCGTGCATAAACTACAGATAAAGCATATAATTGTTAAGAAATTAAACTTACGACAACAGTCGGGGATCTTCATTGAGTACAGTTAACAAGAATAATCTCATATGATCACGAATACGTGAACTCATGTTTCAAAATCTCCCGGAAGTTTGCTAGATTTAGGGTAATAAGGAACTCCTAGTAATCTAAGTAGATTTCAATGATGCATCTAAAACTACAGAATAGTTTGATCAAAATTAAACAACATAATTCAATTGATTTATATTTTAAAATAATTTAGTGTTATGCTTAACACTAACTGAATTCTACTTATATAACCATTGCCAAGAAGGCCCTACTCACTGCCTTCTCGCGTGGGGGTCAAGTTTACAAAATTGAGAGGATGAAAAGCGGAGATTTGACTCTTAACCTGAGTTGGTGAGCTCGGAGGACTTACCTATGAGAGTTGGTAAATTCTGGCTCCAAACCAATAGTCACATAAGCACCAGGATCCTGAGGGAACAAATGGCGTATGAACCAATTGTTGGTCACCGACTACCATGGGACTCCAACTTCTGACGTCTCTTCAATGCCTTTTGGATTAGACCCCTAGGTCAAAGACTCAGGGAGTGATTCCTAAGAAAACCACGTGTTCCTGTCCGGACACCCGCACAGTAACCCAGCACACATACAAATTCAATGATTTATATGGAGTATTTATATTTGGGCTCCCCCTTGTACAAATGTTTGCGTTCAAAAAATAAATAAATTATACGTCAATGAATAGTCTTAAAGTCACTATCAATGCACATTCAACTGTAGAATTACAGTCGAAACTTTCGAATCCAAGCTCAGAACCCCCAATTTTGGTTACGTGATATTCATGAGTCGACAGCGCATACGCTAGATCAGTCGCCACAAGCCATGCACCAATATCATGAGGACCACTGGATTTTCCTGTTATAACTTACTTACTCGGATCTTTGCGAATCATATCGTGCTACAAGTGCTCTGTTTAAAGAGGAGACGGTTGCGAAATGAAGTATCTTGAATTTCTTGTCAATGATGAGTTTGGAATCAAAAAGAAACGAGAACATAATTCACTATAAAACTGAAGGAAGCGAAGGAAAAGTACCTCAGAAAGATCCTACATTATTTCGTGTAGGAGGTGATACGACACCTAGTTGTCATGTCTTAATTGATTGGAAAAAGTGACATACAAGTTCACTTTTTCCGGTCACCTATGATATTCAACCACGTTTATTTTGTGCCCGTACTTTTTATATAAGCATATTATTTATTGAGTGAAAAACTGTTCATCTGGTTAGTAATTGTTCAGGGGCCTAACTCAACCATACGGTCTCGTGAGTAGCCATCACTCGGTCACATTATATCAGTGAGTCCACCTATCTATTAGCACTCTATCCATTGATTTCGACATTCGAAATTTCGTCCAATCTAATAACAGAAAATCCTCATAACAATAGCAACATCCTAAATGGCAAACTAATGAAACCTGTGATTACATATAAAGGTTACCAGCCATTGATAACGTCATAGCGGAAGGATTGTCATCCTGTGGCAACAAAATCTTTTCAATATTACATGATCACCATACCTAAATTTAATAATTTTCTTATTCTATTTGAGTTCTCGCGAAAAATAATTGTTTTTCGAGATCCTCCTCATAGAAAACAAAACTACATATTTCATACTACTATTGGTAATCTCAAGAAACAACTGAAATTTCGTCCTTTCTAATACTCAATATTTGAGTAACAGCTAGTGACTTGATGCTCAAGTTAGCCTACATAAAGCTGAAAAAGAGAAACTTTTATGATTACAGACAGATCGAATGTTTTTTTAATAAATATGAATACTGCTTGAAATGGGGAAAATAAGTCGTATTCTACACAACTCTTCCGTGGAAAACAGACATGTTTAGTGCAATGTTAACTTTATGCATAAATAAATATGCATTCATTTTACTTCTTCACCACGTAGTTATGGAGATTTTTCACTATATTAAAGCTTACGCCAAATTAAATTTGGGTAATCCCAAAACACAACGAAAATACCAACTAGTCTACGTACAACAGTCAAATATCTCGTCTTATTGTCTATAATGCTAATAGGTCCTCTTCTGAAAACCGTATAAAAGCAATCTTTACTGCTTGAGGTCACTGGTAATGATAAGCTCATGTATATACACGACGTCCGAACTCATTATGTGTTAAAAGATGTCTTTTTATCGCACAAAAACTAAAACTTATTCTATTATTTAAGCACATAAACGCTGGTACAAAGGGAGCCAGAATACAAATACGCCACGTAAATCCTTGAATTTGTATATGCTGGGTTACTGTCCGCTTTTCATCCTCTCAATTTCGTAAACAACACCCCAACCAAAACATAACATTGATGCACCACGGATGTTGACGTATAGTCTCAAGTAGTCAGCAATAATTATCTTGAAGAATTGGTAAAATGGAGGTGATTCTTTCAATAAACGAGGGAAGTAATGATTACACGAGAAGTGAAGAGGAAGAAACTTAGTGATTATGAAAAAATTCTAGGTATTTAATAGTGATAATTCCTGACTGCAACACGTTGAAAACGCATACATTATTAAAGTAAATGTACGAAATAAATTGGTTGAACCGCGTGAAGACAACTCCCAAAAAGAAATATTAGTCTGCAAGAAACTCCATTCTAAAATGTGCTGAGTTCTGATCTCTGATGAGTTTATATATTAAAGTTCACTGAAAGAGACAATGAGTTTAGAGTTCGACCCAACTTTTCGACATTTGGAAATCAAACTTACTAGGAATAACGTGTGCTCGATGAAAACACTGTTGGGGTCATTAGTTGATTTTATAGACAGATTTTCCTCATACTTCGTCATGATGAAATTAATTATAGCTTCATCGGTAGTAAACAGATCTTTCTCACATACGATTCTATGTTATAGATACTACATATTAACTGAATCACGGTTACAAACAAGCCATACGATTTAATTTCGATGGTAGCTATAAGTGTCCCCTAAATTATAGCATTACTTGCTTCATATAGACTACATCATTACTGGTGTCAACCTCCTTATGACCAAATCTCTCGAGCTGGTCTCCTTGATATATATCAAGATCTTTTACCAGTACCATGTTAGTATCCTTGGTTCTCGTTATCGAGTATTGTCACTGAACATTTTAAAAACATTGATAAACTTCAGCCGTAGCTTCTCTTAGGAATCGGACTGTTAAGTCAAATATTTGAAAAACCTACGACACTTACCAGCGAAAGAAACAAGATGCATCGCAACTGTTTTTTCACACCAATCCGGAAGACGCTAAACTCGTTTCAAGAACTGTATCTATAAGAGAAGTAGAAAGAGTAAATATTTCCGAAGACATAGAAGTCTGACCCCAATAGAGCAGACCTGATGATTAACGTATTAACTTTCCTGATAGTGAAAATATATTTAAAGGCTACGAATTTTAGCTGAAATAATTTTAGCTTGCAAGAAAATGTTCGGGAAAAAAGCAGAAAACTAACCGATTAGTAGAAATGACTTGTGAAAAGTACTTGCAGTTTTATTCCGGTTATTTTGATACTGAACTGTTTTAGTTTCTCCGGGCTTATAAAAAAACTTATGAAACCAGCATTCACATGATCTTCCTGAGGTTGATGCTTTTACTGAGCTCAAAAAAATGTTAAAGAATGTTGTTTCCATGCTTTAAATGAAGCGACATGAAGCTATGGAAAGTGGGACGAAATCTCTAGCCACAAAACTGACCAAAACAAGCCCTCAGATTAGCTGGCTACATTTTACTTCAATACAGGCTATTTCCGCAGTTAGCATAAGGCTTAAGATAGTGAAAAACTGAGAAGCGGGGACGGACCTCTACTGCTGATACGATTACCCCTGTGTTGTTAAAACGGCACTTATGGGAAACACCTTTTATGGCATCAATTTGTTGATTTGCAGTAGTTAACATATTTGCGATTCAGGAGTAATGTTTCTTGATGCCATGTTTTTAGATCCAAGAAAATTCAATCACATGAACGGCCGTAGTTTGAGGATGGCATCACCTTGCAGGGTATATAGAGGGAAGATGATGGCTTGTAACTTGACATTTCAGAACCGACCCTCTTTAATTTTATTCCGTTATTCTCTAGCGCGAATCAAGTCGATAATTGACAGCATGTATACTTCGTTAACGTCACCATAAGATCAAACCGGAGTCAGATCAATCGGCCAAAAAACTACTCCTGGAAGCCACTAGAGGAGCGCTTTCTTTAAAAATGATTAGGTGAGTTAAATTTGAGCTATTGAACATTTGTTGAATCGTAACGATTCGCAGTTTATCAATCGTTGGTCGCAGGTCAGATAACGGGGACCGTCTACTGCAACTTTGCACAGACCACAACCTGTTTCTGGCTAGCACTAACTTTCGGCACAGTCATCGCCGATGTGCCACCTGGCGTCCTCCCTCTGCATCTCAAGCCTGGACTCAGATTGATCACATCGCGATCAGCTACCGCTGGCGTGGTTGTGTACAAGACTGCCGCTCCTTTTGGAGTACCTATCTGGACTCTGACCATGCCTTGGTCTGCGCCAATCTTGCCTTACTTTTCAGTGGACAACGAAGTGACCGCCATCAACGGATTGATGTTAGCAAGCTGGTTGCAACTTCTGTTGCAAGTAAGTATCGAACCGAGCTAGCCTCTAGGCTAGCTACCACTCCACCGAAAAGTATAGATGAGCATTGGTTGCAATTGCATGACGCCATGAAAATGGCGGGAACAGTCAGTTGTGGGTTTGCGAAACGTCCCGCTTTTAAGCACTGGGTTTCTTCTGGTTCCTTACAACTCATTGAAGCCCGTCGGTCTACTCCGGGTGACCGTGAGTTTGACCATAAACGAAGGATGTTACGTAAGGAAATTGGGCAAAGCTTGCGTAAGGACCGAGAAGCCTGGTGGTCGAAGCGTGCTAATGAGCTGGAAGCAGCAGCTGCATCTGGTAACTACCGGAAGCTCTTCCAGCTCATCCGAGCCACTGGCAGCAAGAAGTCTGGTGTGAGTGAAACAATCTGCGAGGATGATGGGATGCCAATCACTAACATCCATCGACGTCTTGGACGATGGG